ATTCCCTTTCATAAGGATTTTCTGAATTGTCAGGGGAGCGAATTAATGGAAAATGTACTTGGGCGGTCTTTGCTGAGAGGGAGTTTAATGCAGGAACCAGATCCATTCTGAAAGTTGCGATTACTATTGCGCTCAATCGAACAATGTCAATAAGTGTTGAAAATCAATTTTATATCAATATTCATATGGATTTTCTGGAAAGAAGTCAAGGGAGAAAATTTTGGGGAAATTTACTTCTGGAAACAGAACTGTTTTTAAAAGTGGGCGGTCACTGCTACACTCCAACCAATATCAACAAGAACAACAATATGATTGTTAATATTTGCAATATATGAAAAGGTTCAGTATATATGGATAAACATCTTCATTGTGGAAGCACAGTGAGGAGGTAGAACACTTGGATTTGAAAATGATTTGCAGTTCCTCATTCTCTGCTCATAAAGAAGAGTTAAAGAGTCTTTAAGTTCAATCCTGTAACATGACACTTCCTCATCGTGATTATTATCGATATCGTCCTGTGTTGTCATCTTGATATTTGGACTTGATCGTGTTGTTAAATGGAAGTATCCGTCACTAACCACCGTGTGCGACCCTGAGCTCCGCTGTTTTCCAGCTGAATCCAAGTTAGTCCAGCACGGTGGTGTGTGTGTGTGTGTGTGTGTGTGTGTGTGTGTGTGTGTGTGTGTGTGCGTGCGCGTGTAAGGATCCGTGACGTGAACTTGAACCGTGAATTTGTGCAGATCTGTGTAAACAGAGCAGCTGGTGTAAATCACAGCAGATTCCACCTCCACTGAGAAACAGACTAAAGCACAACAATAACAACACTCCTCTCACTTTGACTGAGTTTCAAACTACAGAAAACTAAACTTTTGACAAGATGTCAAGACAAACTACGCTCACTGTGTGTGTGTGTGTGTGTGTGTGTGTGTGTGTTTGCGGCTAACGCTCCCTGGCTAATTACTACCAGTCGGGGCTGGGGAGGCTAACGTCCCGCAGCTAGCAGCTAGCAGCCGCCGCTGTGTGTGCACCTACCTCGGCTGGGATGCCATGGCGCGCCTCTCGCCGCAGCTGAAGTTGTCTGTCATGTGTTTCTGACAGTCCTCACCGAGCTGCTGCTCTCAGCCGCTCACATCGTTCAGTGCTGAGGAGGCTCCGTCCATTTACAGCGACTGTCAGGCCGCCGGGGTGTGAGAGTTGTCTGCTAACAGCGACGCTGTGTCCGGGTCGATCCTCTCTCTGCTGCCGCTGCTGCTGGATTGTTCTACTCTATTCGGCCGCCCGGGGACCGGGCTGGGATTTATACACTCAACGCGGCACACACTGGTCACAAACACCCCTGGAGCTCTCGTTTCACCAGGAAACTCTAAATGTTCTACAAATACGACGGCTCATCCATTAATATCTGTATTAATCACAGTTTCTTCTTTACTACGACAGTTTGACCAAAGTTTCCACCGTGACCCCTGCGTGACAGACATGGTACAGTCACTACATGCACTATGTTTGTACCTGAGGGGACAGCAGTCCTCAGTCAACCACCACTGGTTCAGTCTGTCCCCATCACTGTCCCCCTTCTGTCCCCATCACTGTCCCCTTCTGTCTCAGTCTGTCCCCATCACTATCTTAGTCTGTCTCAGTCTGTCCCCATCACTGTCCCCTTCTTTCTCAGTCTGTCCCCATCACTGTCTCAGTGTCGCTCAGTCTGTCCCCATCACTGTCTGAGTCTAAAGCCATAACTGTCTCAGTCTGTCCCCATCACTATCCCCATTGTCTCAGTTTAAATTCATCAGTGTCTCTCAGTCTGTCCCCATCACTGTCTCATTTTAAATTCATCAGTGTMTCTCAGTCTGTSCCCRTCACTGTCTCAKTTTAAATCCATCAGTGTCTCTCAGTCTGTCCCCATCACTGTCTCAGTTTAAATCCATCAGTGTCTCTCAGTCTGTCCCCATCACTGTCTCAGTTTAAATCCATCAGTGTCTCTCAGTCTGTCCCCATCACTGTCTCAGTTTAAATCCATCAGTGTCTCTCAGTCTGTCCCCATCACTGTCTCAGTTTAAACCCATCACTGTCCCACTTGTCTCAGTCTGAACATCATTTGAAAAGCACCTTGATCAGGACTTGACTTTTACCTGCAGGCTGCAGCAGATAGAAGTTTTCATTTTTAGTCTTAAAAATGTAAAAATCTAAATAATACAAACCTTGAAAGAAAATGTGATAGAGTGGCACTTCCTTGTGTGGATTCAGATTCAGATTCTTACTGCAACCAGCCTAAAAAGTATATTTATAGTATGTATATATAACCTACAAATATCGACCAGTCATAGACATATTGATATCAGTGGCCCTGTTTGCAGATATGCACTGATATTAAAATGTTCATTGTCACTGATTGAGAATGAACTTAATTCAAAGCAAATTTAAGTTACTGGTAGTCGATACCTGACACTGTGATCTTCATGTAAAAAATTATTTGTATCAACTGACAGATCATAACTAAGGTGATTTTGATTTAAATAATGCCACCAAATATAATAAAACAAATATCAGTGATTTTATTTATTTTGGGTCATATCCTGAGTATACGCTTATATGTAACATTGAAGATGTGCTTATTTATTTTTGGTTATTTTGCTTCAAACCAAAGCAATGTACAAAAGGTTTATGGGATTAATTCAAGTTACTGCACTTTTACATGAATTGTTTCCTCCAAAAATAAATCAAAAACGAAAAAAAACTATAAATACTTGGTCACAAAAAATTCTTTAATTTAGCATTTACAAAACCTCAATCCCAACAATTTTACTGGTTGTCAGTGTCTCATATATTCACAGGTCTGAGGAAACCAGCAGGGATTCAATCTCCTGACCAAACATATCGCAGCAGGCCTCACGTTTCCTGACACATTGTGGTACCAGATTTGATGACCAGCTCTACTTGACCTGCACCCAGAAATCATTTAAAGCTTATCAACAACATCAGAAAATACTTTGGTCTGTGGTTGAAAAATCACTTAGCTTGCGTGTCCTCGTGTAGCTGTTCTTGGATCACAGGCTGTGGATGAGGGTCAGTTACTGGACACTCATGAGTGGTTATGTTACACAGCTCCGGAGCGTCTGCCAACAGAACATACCAACACCATCTTCCTTCATTTAGACCTGAGCATAGGCTAAGGATAGCTGAATATGATACTGTTATATCATAGATGTGCCGATGTAAGTGTACTAGCCTGAAAGTATAGGATTATA